CACAGGTAGGGTGCTTGGAAACTGGTGCAAAATGACGTTGGTGTTGAGGCTTCGGTACGGAACTCGGCACAATTACGCCTGCGCCCAGACTATTAGCACGGCTAGGCGGATGGTAGGCGAGCGGGAAGCTTGGCGGGACCGAAGAGCTCGCCACTTCTCTTCTTTCACCCCGCTTGCGAACGGGTGTTATCCAACCCCGCTGTCGTCATTCCCGGCGCCAGATGATCAGTTCTGCTGCTTCATCGCTTGTGTTTTGAGTGATGATATTGTCATACAGGGCAAGAGATGGCTTACAGGATCAGATATGCTGTCCGAGATATCCAGAGGCCCTACAACCACACTTCTGAGGCATGCATGCATGTCTTTGTTGACGAGTGCCGAACGTGACCGACGATGACGTTCCTTGTACTGGACCCAAGATTACTACCACCACGCCAAGCTCTCGATATCGCACGGTTCTTGGCCGTCCCCATGGTGTGTGCGCATGCGTTCCAACTTGCTTGTTTAAAGGCACTCGTGTCCCCGGATCTAGATCTTTTGCTTGCACCCATCTTCCTCTTAGCACCGCTATTCATTCACTATGGGCAAGAAGGAACCATCTCTCGAGGGCCACAGGTCCGGTCAGGCCAATGAGCCTCTCTCCAAGCCCGCGCATGCCCTACCATGGAAGGACGTCGTCAACGAGATCAAGTGTAACGCCGAAGACGGTCTGACTACTGCGGAAGCAAAGTCAAGACATGAGAAGTACGGCAACAATGACCTGGGTGACGACGGAGGAGTTTCACCAGGCAAGATTCTACTAAGGCAGGTCGCCAACGCAATGACATTGGTATGTAATTCAACCTGATACCCAATCTCAACAAATCTAACAACTACAGATCTTGATCGCTGCAATGGCTGTGTCTTTTGCTATTCAGTCGTGGATTGAGGGTGGTGTAGTAACCGCCATCATTCTGCTCAACGTCGTTATTGGTTTCGTCCAAGAGTTCAATGCTGAAAAGACAATGGATTCTCTTCGATCGCTCTCCTCTCCGACCGCTACCGCTGCACGAGACGGAAAGACTGTTACCATCCCAACAATTGAGGTTGTTCCGGGTGACTTGATTGAGCTGAAGACAGGTGACACTGTCCCAGCTGACATTCGGTACGTTGAATGGCGCTAAATTAGTCGGTACGTCACTAACTCGCATACAGTATTATCGAAGCACTGAACTTTGAAACCGACGAGGCTCTTCTTACCGGTGAATCTCTCCCTGTCAACAAAGATGGTGATGCCGTCTTCGACGAAGAAACCGGCCCTGGTGACCGTCTCAACGTCGCCTACAGCTCCTCCACCGTCACGAAGGGACGCGCTCGTGGCGTCGTCTTTGCTACTGGAATGTACACTGAAATCGGTTCTATTGCTATGTCTCTTCGACAGAAGGGCTCCCGTGTCCGCGAAGTCAAGCGCAAGCCTGACGGCAAGGCCAAACCGCATCGTTACGCTCAGGCATGGTCTTTGACCGCTGCTGATGCCGTCGGCCACTTCCTTGGTGTCAACGTCGGTACTCCACTCCAAAAGAAGCTCGCACGTCTCGCTATCCTCCTTTTCGGCGTCGCTGTTGTCTGCGCAATCATCGTTCTGGCTGCCAACAGCTTCTCCAACAACAGCGAGGTCATCATCTACGCTGTTGCCACTGGCCTCAGTATGATTCCGGCCTCGCTCACTGTCGTCTTGACCATCACAATGGCCGCCGGTACAAAGCGCATGGTTCAGCGCCACGTTATTGTTCGCAACCTGAAGTCGCTCGAGGCCCTGGGTGGTGTCACCGACATTTGTTCTGACAAGACTGGTACTCTTACACAAGGAAAAATGGTTGCCAAGAAGGCATGGATTCCCGCAAAGGGCACCTACTCCGTTGGCCAGTCCGACGAGCCTCATAATCCCACTGTTGGCGCTCTGACCTTCAACCCCAAGCAGCCCCGACACATCGATCCCGACGTAGACGAGAAGACAGAAACCTTTGAAGAGCTTTTGCAAGACAACGAGCACCTGGTTGACTACCTCAAGGTTGCTTCGCTCGCCAACTTGGCCCACGTCCATCAGACTGATGAAGGTCAATGGAACGCACGTGGTGATCCAACTGAAATTGCTATTCAAGTCTTTGCCTCTCGCTTCAAGTGGAACCGTCTCGAACACACCGGCGGAGATTCGCCTGCCTGGAAGCAACTCGCTGAATTTCCATTCGACTCTGATGTCAAGAAGATGTCCGTCATCTTCGAAGAGACCGCTAGCTCTAAGAAGTTTGTTTTCACCAAGGGCGCTGTCGAGCGTGTCATCTACTCCTGCACCCGCGTTTACAACGATGAAAGCGAAGCCGGCGTTGATCTTGACGACGACTATCGCGAGGAGATTTTGGCAAACATGGAATCTTTGGCTGCCATGGGTCTTCGTGTTTTGGCACTTGCAAGCAAGGAGTACGACGGTCCATCACCAAGCAAGGGCGAGGATCTCGATCGTGAGAGTATCGAAAACGGATTGACCTTCCGCGGTCTTGTTGGACTGTACGACCCGCCCCGACCCGAGACTGCCGGCTCTGTTCGTCAGTGCCAGAAGGCCGGTATTGAGGTTCATATGCTTACTGGTGACCATCCCGGGACTGCGCGCGCAATCGCTATTGAAGTTGGCATTGTGCCTTCAAACATGAGCACTCTCCCTAAGGAAACCACTGATGCCATGGTCATGACCGCCTCTCAGTTCGATAAACTCACCGACGATGAAATCGACGCCCTTCCACTACTTCCTCTTGTTATCGCTCGATGCGCCCCGAACACCAAGGTTCGTATGATCGACGCCCTACACCGACGTAAGGCTTTCACTGGTATGACTGGTGATGGTGTGAACGATTCTCCATCCCTCAAGCGTTCAGATGTCGGTATTGGTATGGGTACTGGATCCGATGTAGCCAAGGATGCTTCCGACATTGTTTTGACCGACGACAACTTCGCCTCGATCCTTAACGCTATCGAGGAGGGCCGCCGCATGTTCGACAACATTCAAAAGTTCATTCTTCATTTGCTCGCCCAGAACATTGCGCAAGCCTGCGTTCTGCTCATTGGTCTCGCATTCAAGGATCAGAGTGGGCTCTCAGTCTTCCCAGTGTCTCCCGTCGAAGTCATGTGGATTATCATGATCACGTCATCTCTTCCCGACATGGGTCTCGGTTTTGAGATCGCAGCTCCCGACATCCTCACTCGACCCCCTCAAAATGTAAGTTGTCTTCATCTCAAAATAGACAGCCGAACATGTACTAACAACAAAAATAGCTCAAGCGTGGTGTCTTTACTCTGGAAGTCATCATGGACATGTTCGTGTACGGTCTCTGGATTGCTGCCCTCTGTCTCGGTGCTTTCTCCCTAGTCATGTTTGGCTGGGGCGACGGCAACCTTGGAAACGGCTGCAACGAAGGTTACAACGACACTTGCGACACTGTCTTCCGCGCTCGTGCGACGACTTTCGCCTGCCTCACTTGGTTCTCCGTCTTCCTTGCATGGCAAATGTTGGACATGCGCCGATCGTTCTTTGCGATGCAGCCAGGCTCGAAGAAGTACTTTACGCAGTGGGCTATCGACGTCTGGCGCAACAAGTTCCTTTTCTTCTCCATCGTCTTTGCCTTCGTTACCATCTTCCCTGTCTTATACATCCCTGTGATCAACGACACGGTCTTCAGGCACAAGGGCATTAGCTGGGAATGGGGAATTGTCTTCGTTGCTACATTCCTTTTCTTCCTCGGTATTGAGTCCTGGAAGTGGGGCAAGCGCGTCTTCTTCAGGAGACGCGACGCTAAGAGGGGCGTCGCCAGACGAGGCTCTGTGGACCTTGAGCAGCGCGTCTTCGAGCGATACCTCAGTACCGCTATCAGCACCGATGGTGAGGATGGCGAGAAGAAGTCGTCTGCATGAGAGAAGAAGTTACGTAATGAGGTACGATATCTTTCAGACAAGCCTCAATTTGAGAGGCACTAATGTTTTGGATCAGGCTTTGTCCTGCAAAAGGCGTTCTTGGTTTGTTTGCATAGCCTGCGATTGCGATACCTCATGCCATTATGGCTGCGATCAAGGCTTTTCATAGTCAGAGTACGTGTACATAGTTATTAAGATACCATCATGAACAAATTAAATTGTCACCATCCATCTTCGCAACGATCAACATGTTCACTTCAAAAATTTGCTGAAACATTTCCAGTATCCTCAACTATGATCGTACATAGCAAAAGCAGCGCTAGTCAGCCTCGGTCGAACGCGTAGTCTTCAGGCGTGCCTTCTTCGGAGGCTGGCGCATGCAGCCCCGCCACGACCCACACCATCCCCACTCCGCCATGCCATGCCATGCCAAACGTTTCCGCTCCATCACACCAAGACCGAAAACGTGCGTTCAGTCTAGGCGCCTAGCATGCGCTAAAGATTTAGTCTGCATATGGAGTACGTCAGCCGAGGCATGCTGTGGCCTTGGAGTCGGCCTGAGCAGGCTGAAAAGGTGAGCTGATGGCGACTGGGGATCGTGAAGTGTTCTATAGAAGTATTGGAGGAAAATCGGACTTCATGCGGATTAGTGATTGAGCGGTTGGATGGGCAGAGATCTGGGTCTAGTGGAGAGTCGATTGGGCTTATTGCTTGGGTTTGCTTTTTACCGCTACCTGATGGCCGTGTCGCGCTTTCGTGCAGTACTGCGAACGAACCAACTTTCCGCGACGACTCTGCGAACGGTCAGCTACGGAATTCGAGTTTGTAGAAATATTGGTCCGCAATAGAATAGCGACGACGAATGCAGCTCCGGCGTAATTTAGCCGTCCATGTCCATGTTACGTATGGGCAGCAAACACAGGCCAATGCCAAGCTCTCTCAAGCGCTATCAAGAAGTGGCGAAAAGACGTGGCTGTGGAGGCTGAGCTTGCGGACATGTTGGTGTCATGGAACGCCCGGATGAGTGGGATCCGGGGTAAGAACTAGCTAGGTAATCAATGTTAAGAGTGAGCACTACGCACCTTGGACAACAACTCTTCAGCCGCCGGAAATACTTCTGTCCAAACGAATACTAGACACATTGTACGAGTATACGACATACGACGGAAGAATTAGCCATCGCAGTGTGTAGGATCCCTGGGACGCGCAATCGTTTGGTGCCGGTATACCCGCTTCCTTCGCCGTCATCGCACGCTGTTCCCCGCAACAGGTCGAGGTCGAGCCACATCGCATTCCCCAATCCCCCACACATCAACCGAACCACGTCCGAATCTTCAAGTTACGAAGAGATCGAGAAAGCGCGATGCCTGCGGTATCTAGTCACGGATTCGTGCGCACGCTTGAAGCGCGAGAATGGAGGGATACAGTTGGTCAGTCCGGCATGACACCGACGGCTTTTAGTTTTCTGATTCCCGTCTTCGTTGTCGCTATTGTGGCGCCGTTGTAAGTCGTGTTCCGTCTATTCCGCAGTATGTTGAGCCGAAAGGGAAATAGCACGTAAGGGGTGTTTCTGCCTGGAAAGCTGGGAAATGACATTAGGCTGATGATATTCGATGATGTAGTTTGTGTATATTCTGCATCCGGAAAAGACGGCAAGCCGTCCCTGTTCCAGCGCGTCCACCACCCAAGACGAAGAAGCCGGCACTTAGACGTGCAGAAGCAAGAGAGAAATTGAACGAAGTCACCGAAGTAGTGAGCCTTTCCGGAACCACATCTCGACAAAGCCATGATGGCGCAGAGAACGACGAGGGGAGATTGGAAGTGGTAGAGTCGCGCTCGGTTTTAGAACGAGAATGGTGAGTTTCGAAACACAGCAATACTTGCGGAAAACTACATTCTAACAATTCTGCGCAGCGCAATATGTCTTTCCACTCTTCACGCTCCCGCCCCACCCGAACCCGCCAAACTTTCCCCAGAAACCCCAATAACTGATGATGCCGCCCTGCCCGCCTCCCTTCCACAATCCGACTCCCTTGACCCATCAGCCACAACCACCACTACACCCGAAAATGAAACCATCCTCAAGCTCTCCGTCTGCGGTCACGAATTCCATGCAGGTTGTTTAGTCTCTTGGTTCGTCTTGCGCAAAACAAGCTGTCCGATATGCCGATCCACGTATATGAGCAAGGAAGCCATGGAGCAGCATGATGAGGAAGAAAGGATAGCTTTAGGCGGAGATGTGACGCCCGCGGTGTTGGAAGCCGGAACTGCGGTCCAGTCACAGGCAGTGCCAGTAAGCAACTGGCGTTACTTCCTGCATGGAAGTGGCATAAGGAGACACCAAGAGACACAGGCACAGGCACAGGCTCAGCCTGCAGTGGAGCTACAGAACCGCACTCCACAGACGGTAGAGCAGCATGGGGCTGATGCTGCAGTAACAGCAGAGGCGGCAGTGCAGCAGCCAGAGCAGCCTTCTAGGCCAAGGTGGCGGAGGTTGTTGAGAATGTGAGCGTTAAACGACAAGAGATGGTTATGATAAATGGAGAATGATGGAACGATTTGAGACTGTTTTCCTTTCGAGATACCCCTACCGGCGTTCCGACGTTTAGTTTGCGATGAAGTCAATACACTTAGACTTGAACTTTTAGTTTATATCCCTATGCATTAAAACCTACTCTAAGGGTACCCGCCAGGTTTCCTGCTTGAGACTCTTCAGCTCAACTAAGATGTGTTCTTCAGAGTAGGCCCTACTTGTGCGTACAGATTGTAAGATACAATTCTCTGTCTTACGCTCGCGCAACATTTCCTCACGAGCCAAACCAAAAGTCGTTCTCGTTCTGTGATACACCTGCAGGGTCAAACGAGCCATTACCGGCTGTCACAAGGCCCTCGAATTGTCCCCAACTAGCAAAATCTGTCCAATCGAGTAGGTCAAATGTGAAGGTTGCGTTAGTCGTACCAAATGCTTCTGCACCGTTTGGTGTCGGTGGGATATTGTTATTGCCAGTAGTGTTGTAAAGCAGATTTGACAGATTTGACGACGGTGGTACAGCATCGGGAGTTGGTGCAGACAAGGGCAGTGGAAGAATCGGGTTATCGTGGAAGCTGGGGTTGTCGCGTGTAGGCGTCTACGATGTGAGGTCAGCATGTGGATACAGAGAGCTTGTACTTGCCAACAGAAATTATGAACTCACATCAACCGATGCTGCGGGCGTCGATAGCCTCCCTGATTGCCGTACCGCCTCAGTCCTAAGTTCTTCCAGGACAACACAGTAACGGTGCGCAAGGCAGTCAGTGTCGCTGACTGTCTCCAATTGTCTTTGACACTTTACACCTGCCTCAAAAAAGCCTTCGCACTCTACTTTAGTCTTCACACCCAAGCCCTGTTGAATGCGATGGATGTATAGCACTACCACTGCACAGAATGCATAGTACTGGGTAAACCAGAAAGAGCGGAAGAGATTGGACGACATAAATACATCGTCTACGAAACGTACCAGGGACATGGCAGCTTCGAGACAGGCAGTGATGTTGGCTGATGCGTCGTAGTTTGTGGCACTCCAGTTTGGATGGGTTGGCATATGCGTCAAACTCGCGAAATCCCTCAGTAAGAAAGGTCGGTGAATAAGTAAAAGCGCGTGGTGGTACGCCAGATTGAGAACGGAACGCTGACGTTGGTAGACTGGTATGAGCAGCTGGTTGTCGATATGTGCATTTGAGGCGGAGCCAGAGAGGAATCCGACCAGCGAGTTGTGCCACGCGTGCAACTCCGAAGTGTACTTCGCCGATAGCTCAACGCGCAAGGCCAGACTGGGTGGACGAATCGAATACAAATCTCGTAGCACGAGAGAGACGATGCGTGTAAGTTTAATGTGCTCAACTGGGGCTGTCATCAACGAATAAGTAGATCGCGTTGGGAGATTGATATAATTCGGATGGAGGTCATTGTCATTGACAATCGTTGGGAGCTCCTAAAAACTCCGAGTTAGCTACTGAAACCTGTTCCCACAGTACCAATATCAACGTACCTGATCGATATCCTCGTCTTTGAAGGTTCGTGGCCGACCAAGAGCAGCAGCAAGGTACTTATCAAGTGAGTATGCAACCCAGAACAAGCGTCTTCGACTCTCAATTTCCACATAGTCCACCTTGGTTGAGGGATCGCATTTCCTACCACGATTCAACCCTATGGCAAGGGCGAGATGTGACAGCGTGCCAAAGAGGCTCCAACAGTGGTTGATGCGGGACTGTGTCAGAAGGTAGAAGCACTGTAACAATCGTGCCTGGACACTCGCTAGTCTTACAGCGCCACGTTCTCCAGAGAGCAGGTTTTCAGCCGCGCGGAAAAATCGAGCGCTGGTAGATGTTAGTCGGTGTCGTGACAACGCAGGGATCAACAAACCTGCTAGTTTGCACTGAACTGCCAGGCGGCATATATGCCTGTGCTTGCGCGAATACCACCATCAACAACGCTGCCTTCGCTTTGCCGTCTTCCTTACTCCTCATTTCACCTTGGGTCTCATAAAACTCCTCTACAAGCTGTTCGATCGTCGGTCGATGTAGGAAGCGATGAGTGGGTGCCGCGTATTCGAAATATCGTTCTACGAGCCTCTGCGCATCAGGCTTCGGTGGTGGGACGAATATGGAAAGATCAAACTCTGGGAGCGGAGCGTCTCCGAAAGTAAAGATGGTAGAGTCATGTGAGAGGGAAGAATTCTGATGCAAACGCTTCTGAATACGAATAAGGAAGGAAGCTGCGCTCGAAGATCCAACGTAGTGACCTTCTTGGTCTCTTTGAGCTCCTTGTGGCACAGGAGAGTCTCGAGAGGAAGGGCGACTGTTGGCATTGGTAGCCATGTTGAGAGTATCTGGATTTGGATTTGGATTGTCGGAATTTGAGTAAGACGGTGGATCGATCGGAGTTGATGGGCTTGGGTATATACGTGGGTATTGCATTGCCGATGCTGCATACGTATCTTTCACAGGTGGTTCTGATGTTAAGCTTTCTTTTCGTCCTTGTAGTAAGGGATCCGTAGCTACCGCGGAATCGTCGACAATAACAGAGGGAAGTCGACCTCGCGTATACGATGCAGTAAACTCACACGGCAGCCCTGATCTCAGACAGAGCGCACAAGGACATCTTCCAGTACATCTTACTTTTTTCCTGGTTCTGATGTTAGCGAGTCCTTGAATACATGCAGCACAGCACGTGCACGCCGAATTTCAACAAGCTCACTTCTTACATCGGTCGCAAGCCCTACTGACTCTGCTCCTCTCCCGCTCTTCTCTCCTTCTCTTGGCAGGTGGTGATTTTGGCTCATCTGGGCTTGCGCTTGCGGGCGTGGCGGTTGTGACCGCTTCAATACCATTGGCGGGAGTCCATCGAGCAGTCGACACATGCTTCGGCTCGGCATCAGCAGAGGCTCCTTGAGAAGAATTTCTTCCGTTCATGATCGGATCTGTGTAGTCTTTCGTCCCTTGACGATGTTCATGTTCACAAAGTGGAGTCAGAAGTCCAGAGCTCGGATAAGAACAGATTAACAGCCGGAAAAGCCGTGCGCTAAACCGAAAATGATGCATCGCGCACGAGACCTCAGCAAGCAGGACTATGATGCGATAAGGAGCTCAGATTTAATCTGTAGTACTCTCAGAGTGTGTGTGGCTGATCTATTCCTCATCCAAGCCTACGTCTACTCCGTGCCTCATGAGCGCAGCCATTTCCCCTCTACCCATGCCAACCCCTCCTTGAGCCACGGCTCCTCGTCCTCCTTGATTGGGATAGTGAAGCCATGTTCTTGTCCCGGCCTAATCTCCAACTGAACCTCAATATTATCTCCTAGCGCTTTGCACTTCTCCACAAACTTCTTACTATCCTCTACACTAACCGCTGAGTCCACATCGCCATGGACAATCCACGTCGGCGGCAACCATTTCTTATCCTCAATAAGCCCGATCGGCCACATCTTCTCATCTTTTCCGAAATAAGTGAGGTAGTGTCCGTATGCCGCTAAAAGGTAGTTCAATGACAATCTTGCCGGTGGCCATCCTGAAGAAACAACAACACCTGGCTTGATGGTCGAAATATGCTCAGCCAGCTCGGATTCTGGAGGAGAAGGTGCGTCGAAATACATGTCACTTTTCTCGATACGCAGATAGTTTGTCATGGGGAATTCTGCCAGGATAGCTTTGATGCTGCCGCGAGGCTGAGTGAGACCTGACATCAAGGCCATGTAACCACCCGCCGACTCGCCTGAGACCAGGGTTTTCTCGTAGTCTAGCTCGATACCGCCTCCTTTCCTGTGAGAGGCAAGAAAGTCGCTGACTGAACCTTTGTTGAACCAGGTCCAGAAGTCACTTAGATCTTCGAGGATGTCTGCGCCACTGTGTTCAGGAACAAAGCGGTAGTTGGGAGCTACCACGATTGCGTTGTTGCGGTGGATGAAGGGGACGAAATATGCGCTGAACCAGCCGGGAAAGAGACAGTCTCCTGTAATCTGCAATTCGTCGTCAGTGTATAGCTCGTGAGTTCTTGCGATGATAGTGAGGCGGCTTCAGAATCAACATACCAGTCCACCGCCGTGGAACTTGACCATAACTGGAGACTTTCCGGGCTTGAGGTCTTTCGGCACGATGATACCAACTTCGATTTCATGTTCGCCGATCTTCTTATACGAAGTCCGAAATACGTCGAAACTGTCGAATCGATTGGTTTCCGTCGTGTCGTCAAGGGGTGCCATGTTGTTGTTCTTATTCTTCCTTCTTCTGAGGTGACCTCGAAATGTTGCAAGAGGTGCTGATCTGGGTGACTCTGGACTGAGCACACGCCGGGAATTTAAGCTTTCTAAACTACGGGCGTATTCTCACTATCAAGTTAACGACTTTACCAGTTGTGACTAGTAGTGCTGCTTTGCGTCTAGGTACAGTCGGTCTAGCGGGGTAAGTAAGACGGAATCTCGCCTTCCGGTCGATTTTAGAAGCGAGGAAGCACGACTAGAGGGGCGCTTGTCAACAGTTCATAGCAACGATGGACGAACATGAGTAATTCATCATTTCTTCCTAGTAGTGTTTTGTGAAAAACGTATTGTAATCATACTGCTCATGAGTAATTATTTGCAAAGCCGTCCCAGATTGGACAAGCTTAGGCTACTAAAGTACTGGAGACTTTCTGGAATAGGTCGGCCTTGCGAAGAATTACCGTATTACTCATCAGTTACTCTGTTTCAACTGTGACATGAGTATATGTGATTACTCATTCCTGAGTAATTACTGCCAACTGTCCGAACATCCTGACAAACTTTCTAGATACTCTTCGTAAAAGTACCAAGTAAGATCGACGAGTTCGCCGACTATTTAGACATGCTTGCGCGATTAGAATCGGGCATCTTATTCGTAGATATCGGCTTTGAAGCATACGCACTGCTCGCGGTGGACCTCTTAACGAATGGCCAAAGGCATGGCATCGTAGAGATTTATGCTGTACGCTGACCTGTTGCCTTCCGTAAGGTAACGTGACTAAAAACTTCACGGATAATATCTCGCAGCACATAGATCTAGAAGAAAGAAGATCCGAGTTACTAGCAACTGCATGTCTTCAATTGTCCTAGCTCATCTCGATGCCCACTTCCTGCCTCCAATGTCCAACAAGCACCCTGCAGAGTCCGTCATCTTTACACCACATCTCCGTTCACCTTGCTCATTCTTCTGATTTGTGCGAGTCCTCCAGATGACGGATGCGTTATCGTGAGCTGATCATCAGAGACGCGCGATAACGTAGTCAGTCCACGCGTGTCCCAGGGTGTGTAACGGGGTATGGACCGGTAGGTGCGAGCAGGATTGGGGTAGGTTCAAGGATGAGAGAAACTAATTTCCACCACGAAGAGCAAGAACTAGATGCAGTGTGGCGCCGCCCTCGAGTTGGTAGTCTGCTGCAGTCTTCTCGTCGTTCCTGAAAATAATTATGTTAGCCTTGTCTCGACTATGTCGCATACGCAGGCAAGGACTTGGGATTGGCGAAAGGTGGACGGGGTCTAGAGACTTTTAGACATACATTTGCTTTCCTCCGTAGATGAGACGTTGTTGCGCGGGCGGAATTCCTTCCTTCTCCTCAACGCGCTCCTTTATCCTCGAGACCTGTGTACTGTCAGCGTTACGCTCCTCGAATTTGCCGCACATCGCTCTCCGTGTTTCCGGTTGGCAGACCAGTGATGCCATGTGCGTATGCGGTGACAAAAGTTGGGTAGGTGTACCTTGTAGTCAGCCTCGATATCAAGCTCGATCTCCTTGCCAGTGAGGGTTCGCACTCTGTCGCCTGTCAGCAACTCTGCATCTTTTTTTCTTGCTCCCATGTGACACCCATCAGGAGTCTGACGTACTTGATCTGCATCTTGTCGGCTCTTCTATTGTTTGTGCGCCGGCGAGTGTCTCGAAGGTGTCGCGAGTGTAGCGGTGGCGAGCTCCGTAAAGGGAAGTCGAGGGTGTGAGAGCGTGAGGGTGAGCTCGTGAGCTGGGTAAGTAGGCGTGGGTATTTCTACGACCAGGTGATGGCGCAAACGTTTGTAGGCAGCAAAGTGGTTGTGGATTCCCTTGGGCGATACCGTCAGGCTGCAGTGACGGCGAACCACGGACCATCATGGTGGGGTCCACGCAAGCGCCACGAGGCGGGGCAGCTTGCTGTGGCTGACGCGAGCTAACCCTTTACGGAGGTGGCTCAATCTCGAGTGAGATATGTCTACACTGACATTACTTAAGCTTTGAGAAGAAAAAAGCATCCTAACGCTTATGTGTTGCTCAGCGATGTATACCTTCCTATAGAGCATGCGATGGCTTTTAGTCTTCTTCAAAATACCAAGACCAGTGTTTGGCTGCTGACGCAACACAGTGGAGAGGAGTAGTTCACGTTCAGCTCTTCTCCTCACGACTCTCAACCCAAGTCGTACACCCAGACCATTTGACTAGCAGTAGTAGTCAAGCATCCACACCGCTCTTGTTCAAGACGCCCAAGTCCGCATGAAACCCCTTTCTCACTCCAAGCATCCTCGTTCGGCTCCGAAAAACAGAAGAAGAAAACAGTACACAGTCCTTTACGATATCCCGGTGCATAAACCTGACTGGCTAAATACCTCCACATCCCGAGCAGATCATCCGAAGGACCAAGATGCTCTGACTTCCCAATCAGCGTAATCACACCACTACTGCAAGTCCAAGGTGAAACACCCACCGCCGCAAGGCCTCATCTCACCGCCCCTTGCATGATGCACAGCTAATCCAGAAATACAAGATGCAGGAAAAGAAAATAAGACTGATGTATGTGACATGTCATTCGAATGGGTAATATCTGCTAGAGTCAGGTTATTACTGGATAGGGAAAGACGTAAGTGATCAACTGCCAAGGGCACTAAACACGGGGTTGTGACTATCCGACAAAAATATCTCATGCCGATCTTTGGTATACACAACGGCCATGCAACGGCGTTGCCGCGAACGCTACCTACTTGCTTGCATCTAATCCCTGCCATCTAACCTCCTTCATCCTTGCCCGAACCGGAGATTCTCCATAATGCAAAGTCGCCACTCCAAAAGTATGTACATGTCTAAGAAGAGAAAACTAAACTGACTACCATCAGGCGAGCCAGGGGATACCGAATGTAAAGCCGAGTGAGATGCCGAAAGAGTGCCCACCTAAAAATGGGGAACAGGGGTATATGTGCACAATCTGATAGCCAACAGAGAAGCCCAATGTGACGCTTCGTGGTGATAGTACTGAACAAAGGAAAGTGAACCTTGATGTCTGCGAACAGATATGCTGCCGTTGAGAACGTCTCAGGGATGTGTCCTCGTCCTGCGATGCGGTATTGATG